ATTTATCTTTACATAATAAAGTATTGTCAAGTTTCCAATATAATATTTGATGTTCGTAGTTTTTTTGATGGATGTTTCTTAATGAATTTGGCCTTGGTGTTTTCTCATTGGTATGCATACTTCAACAGCAGATGTCTCTCATTATACTTGCACTAAATCTGATCTGATTGTTCCATGATTTTGGCCTAGACTAACAAATTTTGAACTGAATTCCATGACAGATGTCATTGTCATATTTCTTGTCTCTCTCTTTCTCTTCATATTTCGAAAACTTTCGGATGTTTCATGGGGAGTCATTCATGTAATTATTGTGCCTCAGTGAGGAATCAAGTTATTCCAACTCAGTGACTTGACTTTTTGTACTGACATGTATTACTTCTATGAATTTCAGCAACAGTTTTCAACCTTGTCTTGTGAATTTCATTTCACAAGACACTTATTCATTTTTACAAAAAGTCATGTGAAGTGGAGATGACATATCCTCAAGAATACGCCATCTGTGGGATTCTTAGGAAACTGGGGAAACCAAACCTCGTATCGTACTGAGGATAGAAAATAGATTTCTATCTATACTACTACAGCTTTCATTTTGAACAGGTATTGTTACCAAATCGCGCAATTTCGATCTACCACACTGAAATAATGAATGGTATGTTCACCATATAGGGTCTTCCTACAGAGACTTTCAAACTTTGACAACTCTGACATGAACCAGCCGAATACCACTGGCGAAATATATGACGAAACAACGATATATATCATTGAAACATGAATGCAATGAATAAAAATGTGTAATTCTAAGTAAATGATCAAAACACTCTTACGAATGTTTCAGCACATCCAAATACTGTGGCTTTCATTGGCCACGGTGGCCTCTTGGGTACTATAGAAGCAGTCTATTTCGGTGTGCCAATTCTTGGGATTCCAACATTTTGGGATCAAAATAAAAATATTGAAGAAGTTGTGAGGAGAAATATGGCCATCAAACTGAGTTTACAGGATCTCACCGAGGAAACGTTTGGGACCGCCTTGCATCAAATACTGAATGATAAAAAGTGAGTTTGTTTTTCCTCATCTCTAGGTATAAAGCTTGGTGTGCGGCACAGCACACCACAGCGCTGTCCGTCGCCTGATGGCGACTTGTAGTCTGGTTCACATGTACTCGATTCAGCTCTTTTTGGTGACAGTTTTCAGCCCAGTCCAAAAATTACGCGCTCATTCCTGTCATTCGATTCGTGTTTTTGCCTAGAAAGTTTGAGGAAAGGTCCGAAAACGCGCCGATAAAAATTACAAAAGTTATAAACAATTAAGTGAAAAAAAAATGAGGCTTTAATTTTTTCTTGATATCTCGGAAAATTTTCAAAATTATGGAAATTTGAAAAAAGATTTGAAAAGATCAATGAATTTGCGTAAAAAAAGT